GAACAAGGGAGGAAAACTCAGAAGTCGAATGGAAATTCTGAGAGGAAGGAATGCAAATTATAGCCAACGTTGAGTTTTCGGTGAAGAGAAGATCAATAGCTCTCAATTCTGTTTCGGTATGTTTTTCTCCAACTGCTGTTGTTCATATTTATAGCAGTCAGTTGTGAGACCCGCCCCCTTTCCATGGTGGAGCATGCACTAGCTTGTTATGGAGCAAGCCATGGTAGAGCATGCACTAGCTTGTTATGGAGCAAGCACTTAGCCATGGTGGGAGGAGCACTAGGCGGCTGCTATTGCAACTGGTGGTACAATACACAGATTGGAACATATCCGTTACAAACACGGATAATATTACGTTAATATCTACTATTAACAAATAAATTTGGTCCAAAAAATTAATCAAACAATCGATCATTTGACCAAATGCAAATCCAAATCCAAATCTGAATCCTAAGCCGAAGCTGAGCCGAGCGAGCGAGCGACGACGACGCGAGATTTGCCTTCTTCTTAACTCTTTAAGAGCTACATGAAGTGCATTTGTATATAAACCCACCAAATTAAAGCATACTCTGAAGAAATCGATTTTAAAATTAAAGCACAAACATGTTTGAAGTAATAATTGTACCTCTACCTTCCATCTATTGGCTCTTCAAAAAAGAATTTATACATAAGTACCTTCATATCTCAAATACTATGGACGGATAATTTTTGAAAATATATTACCATATCCAATCCTCAGGAAGAACATGTGTATATCCACACCACACATAAAAGGAATTATACTTATTGAAAAACTAATAAATTTGGAGGAAAAAATAGAGAAAGANCCTTCCCCCCAAAAAAAAATCATAAGTACGTATTTCCTCTAAGACCAATCCCTTTGAGGGACACGCTGCTTTTGGAGAAATGTTTAGTGTAGACATTATAGCCTATTTGACCAAGCTTCTTTTGAAGCAAAAACACTTTTTTGGGTCAAAAATACTTCTTTTTTTAAAAAAAAAAAATTAAGGTGTTTGGCCAAGTTTTTGAAAGGAAAAAAAGTATTTTTCTCGAGAAGTAGAAGCAGTTTTGGAGAAGCAGAAAAAAATAGCTTCTCTCCAAAAGCATTTTTTTTTAAAAAACACTTTTGAGAAAAGTACATTTAGAAGTAGTTTTTTAAAGCTTGTCCAAATACTAATTGTTGTTCAGAAGTGCTTTTCAAATTAATTAGCCAAACACAAACTGCTTCTCACCAAAAGTATTTTTGAGAAAAATACTTTTAAAATAAAAAAACACTTCTCAAAATTAAATAATTTTTGCAATTTGGCCAAATGTGTCGTTAGTCGTGTCAGAGAAATCCAAAGTAGTTCACATTAGTTACTCATGGGCTACGGGCTATCAAACTTGGGCCAGCCCAATAATAGTATGGACTTCAAAGTGAAACTTATCCATATAAGGAAAATTTACGGGCCCAAGCCCAATAATAGTATGGACTTCAAAGTGAAACTTATCCATATAAGGAAAATTTACGGGAATGACTCTGAGGAAAAAATATGAGTAGGCCATATTTAAGAAAATATTTCAGTTACCTAGCAGTAATTGTTTACAAAAAAGGCATCTAAATAATTGTATTTTTAGCATGAAACTGTAAATATGGACCCAGAATCACGATTTAAAAATGTATTTAAAAAATCTAAAGCATTCAATTCCAAAAAAGAAATCCAAAGCAGTTCTGATTCTTCTCCTGAACTTCCTAAATTAACGATGAACAATAATTTGACTAATTTTATGTTATTTGATTTTTGATTCTTTCATGTTTGTATATTTAAATCTTAATGATACATAAAATGTATATTAATTGACACTGTAAATATTTTACAAATATATTAAATATATATAGTGTATATTTAGAGTAATTAAGTTTTATATAATAAAAATTCTATAAATATACTAGTATATGCATAGGTTTTTCCTTGAAGATTTTCATATTTATGGTATATTTCTAGTATAAAATATTTTATATCTTATGCATACCATGAACATCCCACGAAAAAAATTCCAGCTAATCACATTATTAATATACAAAATATAAGCAAAAATGTATGCATGTTTAGTTGGAAATATATAAGGTATATTTGTCGTATATACATTATGAACAATTTAAATTTACTATATATATATATTACTTGTATAAAAATAAGTAAAAATATTTAAATTTGATTTTTATATGCAAGAATGGAGATAGAAGGTAGCAACAATAAAGGAAGAGGGGGGAGTGCCGTTACAAAAGAGTGAAAAAAGGAAAATTTTACTATAATGACGAGAGAGAAATGATATCAATATTATTAGAATAAAACTAACTCCTTAATCTAAGGGTCGGTTTATTTTTAAAATATGCTAGAATTGTAAAAGAAATTGCCAATTATGGAATAAATGAAGAATAATATTATTAATGAAAATAATATTAAATAAAGGATTAGGCATGTAAAAATTTCAATAAATATTAGTTATTATATTTAAAATCTCTTATTAAAATTTTATTTTTAGATAATCATCCATTCCATTGGAGCGCTCTTGATTATACCAGCTAAACATGACATATTAGAGGTAATAATTTATGTACGCCAAATATTATATTAAATTATAATAACTTATCATGATCACAAATTTAATATGTAAAAATATACAATAATTATATAAATTAAGTGTGTGTGTATATATATATATATATTTCTTAATCGAACATAAATCATGCCGTGAGAGTAATTAAGTCTTACCGGCGTACCAAAATTTATGGGTTTTGGCAGAAAACGGAGAGACAGAGATACGCATGCAGAAGGGCAGCAAAATAATAAAAATGATTAACTCAATGTTTGAAATTACCAAAGCATATTTGGTCTGACGCAGTGAACGCAGAAATTGCCAAGTTGCAAAATCCTTAACACGTAATGTACGCACATGAACTAACGTTTTCCTTACCCCATATAATGATATTAGTTTGCTCTTTTGATAACTCCAGCTCCTAATTTCGTTAGAGGAATTAAATAATCCTCTCATGTCCAGGGTTAATGTTATTCACTTTATTTTTTACTCAATATTTATAGAATCTTTCGGTATTGAATTACCATCAGTTTTGTAATAAAAGAAATTAGCAAAAAATAAAAATTTTAACGAAGTTGGTTCGAAACAAATTCACGCTACATACTTTCTTGCATTTTAAATTTACCATATGAGTGACGTGACTGAGAAATTACCTGTCATTGCAAAATTTAAACTCTTGAGGCTCATTTGGTTTAAAAATTAGTTATACAGGGATTATATGAAGAGATTGAATGTGATATCTATAATGAAGAGATTTTTTTATGAGATTAATAAGAAAGAGATTGTTATATATAAATTATTAAAAATTTTATTTTTAAATAATTTAATCTTACTTTGTTAAATATGATTTTTTTTATTTCATATTTATTTCGAATAAAATAATTATAAATTTTTGTATAACTTAATGCGCACTAATTAAGCACTGCATTATTTTACATAATACTAGTAGTAATTTTTCTGTTATGCAACCAATACCAAAGCTAAGATTGTACTATATTATGGGGGATTTTGTTATGCGATTAACTATTTCAATACAATTAACCAAACGCCGTTAAGATAAATTATATAGATGCATAAACAAATTCCAAATGGATGATTTGGCGTAAGAAATTAGGATCAAGATAAGTATAACTCTTTTTTGGAAGCAAAGACAGAATAAGACTACAAGCGGTGGAGCTGTAAAATTTATGCAGCAAAGACTCGTGTCAACCAAAGAGGTTATCCTAGTACACTTGTTATCTGCATGTGAGACAGACAAACCGCGATTCCAGACCAAATTCCAAGTACGTGTCTGTTCTGTAGCATGTCTCAGTTCTCTTCATCACCCTTATTCTTGGTAACTGTAAAAATATGGACACCCTTTTTATTGGTGATACTGCAGTAAACCTTTGGCTCTGATAATTCTCTAGGTTTTCTGATGTCATTTGTGTGGGCTAAAGAACTGTAAGAATTTAGGTTGTGCTTTTGGTTTTGATAAGTTCCAGGAATTTCTTCATCATTTGTAGGCTGAGTGAGTTTTACGACCGACACAAATCTTGAAAATGAAGGTTTGTTCTACTTTTGTATTTTTTTTTTTTAAAAGATTTGAAGTGTTTTCTTGGAGGCATGTACGTAGGTCATGCATTTTCATTAACGTTGACAAAATATCTTTAAGATGGAACTTTGTTTCTTCTCTTACTCTTACTGCGACTCAATCTCAAGCAAGTTGGGGTCAGCTATACGGATCTCTCTGTGTTGTATTTCAGTACTTTGTTGAAGAAATACTTGAGAATGTTTAGGTTTTCAGTTGATTTTTGAAACAGCGATTAGGGAGTTATATCAGTGCTTCTGCTTTTCTTTATATTCAGAATACGAGTTATAAATTTCACCGACCAAAAGAGGGGAACTTCTTAGAAATGACTTCATGCGCTTAATTAAAAATTAAAATAGTTCGACTGTGAGATAACTACCTAAGTATTATAGTAGCAAATTACCTCTACAATAGATATCAGGGGCGAAGCAAATTTCCCCTTCGTCGGAAATGGCAAAATATATTGACCACTCTTTGTCGGAAGATTTTTTTAATTCTTTCAAATTTTAGCGAGGATACTCCAACAAGAAGAGCCAAAATGAAAGGCCTTCATCATAGGCCACACTTGGCCTTTTGCCTTTGAAAGAGTTCAACCCACTTGAAAGAGGAAAGAGGAAAGGGGAGTAGGAATAGTACCCGAAAGTACGGATTCGGGTTCATCCCTCATTCAAGTATGCGCTACTTGAAAGTCAGGATAGATTCCACTCAGTTAGTACGTACCTTTTTTTTTAACACCCCTCGAGGAAATTCGCCACAGATAAATATGATACAAATTTGGTAAAAATAGACTAAAGTATAAAGTCCATAAGAGATGTTGGTGAGAGGTCTATATTGTTTTTAAGTATCAATTGACATGTGCATGTGAAGGTTCATCATGCAAGTGATGAGGAGAAGAAGGTGACAAGAAAGCAGAAGGCAGAAAGCAAGAGCCAAGAATCTGATGAACAGTCGCCAAAAAAGCCGAAAACAGAAGGCAACAGTGAGCAGGCTAATGGAAAATCAAATAGCACTGATATTGCAGCAGAATTTGAGAAGTTTTGTAAAGCTACAAGCGAACATCTCTCCATCAAACAAATGCGTGAAATCCTCGAAGCCAATGGCCGGGATGCTTCCGTCTCCGATGATGCTGTTGTTCCTAGATGGTTTGTCAAATAATCTTTTCCAATCTTATTTGTTATGTTCTCTTTTTGGAATTGTGTGTGTAGATTAAAATTAATTACACTACTAGTTTAGCTTTATAAGAGGCCAGTGCCAAATCATGCTTGTTACAGATGAATACTTATTAATAACTATAATAAGATTTTGTAATAAGATTTTAAGTGAACTGCCACTATCAGTATAATCAATTTTACCAGTTATCCTAGTCTTACCATAGGTTAGTTACAATATGTTGTTTACCAGACTATGCTTATTACAAAATATTACCTACAAAATAATCCCTTTTAGAAAAGTGACCTGATATACAGTTTAAATCAGCAATATCAGTTTTGTAGAAATATCCTTTTTAACGCTCTTTTAAGTATTTCCCACTCTCTACTAGTAGTGCTGCTGTTGTTTTCCTTATTATTGCTCTCCCTGTACAGCCAAGACATACTGTTTTATGGTCCTCTCGGTCCTTGTCCGGTTTGTGGTGGCACGTTGGAGTTTTCTGGGGATGGTTATCACTGCCGGGGAGCATATAGCGAGTGGTCTAGTTGTGTTTACAGCACTAGGGACCCGCCAAGAAGAGAAGAGCCTCTAAATATACCTGATTCTGTTGGAAAAACTCCAGTCTCTGATGTAATGAGCCAAACTCTTCTTTACATAATTTGTTGTATACTCTGGGATGATCGCCAAATTAACTGTTTGTGCATGTTATAATCTCCTAGCTGATCGAGAAACATAGAGATCCCAAGAGTCGCCTGAAGCGGGAAATTACAGGAGTGGATAAACCATTTGTAGGAATGATGATATCTCTTTCAGGCCGTCTTTCTCGAACCCATGTATGTAATATGTTATTTGGTGAATCAGATTATCATGTTGGTATAGTTAGTAAAAACTACTCTCTACAGCAATATTGGAAGACAAAGATCGAGAAGAATGGAGGAAAAGTGGCTAATTCTGTTATCGGTAATTGGCCATATCTTATTATGAATTAAATGCTAGGATTTAATTGAACCCCTAAAAACTGAAAGGGTTCCTTTGGGCAGGGGCAACGTGCCTCGTAGTCTCTCCGACAGAGCGAGACCGTGGTGGCTCATCTAAAGTAGCTGAAGCAGTGTACGTACATTTAAAGAACTCTGCATGAATTAGACTAATTTAGCAATTACATCTTGACATGGAGGTATTGTTCTTCAGGGAGAGGGGTATCCCAGTTGTGAGAGAGGCTTGGTTGGCAGATAGCATCGAGAAAAAAGAAGCTCTAGCATTAGATGCGTATGATGTTGCCAGTGATATTGCAGTAGATGGTAAAGGTATTGCGCTAGACAAGCAAGATTCCAGTGTAGTTGCACTCGAAACTGTTACAGCTGAGGTTTGGCTTTCATCAAATTGTCTTTTTTAATTTTAGATTGGGATTCTACTCAATCTTCCGAACTTGGCTTTATATTGAGAGGTGCCTTGTCTTGGTTGTAGCTTAAAGTGTTTGGAAAGAGAGGTGTACATAAAGACACTAAGCTGCAGGATGAAGGTGGAACAATTTTGGAGAAAGATGGCTTACTGTACAATTGCGCTTTGACTATTTGCGATCAAGGGAGGAATATGAATGAGTACTGCTCGAGAGCTGGTGTATTTGTTTAGTTTTTGATAATAAGCACTTAGTGACAAATTGATCGTTTAAAATGGTGCAGCTTCTGCATTATGCAACTTATTATGGCGCGAGAGAACCGTTTGCACCTTTATTACAAAAAGGGCAAAATAGGTGATAGCCTCAGAGCAGATGACAAGCTAGAGGAATGGGAAAACTTGAATGATGCTATTAAGGAATTTGCAAAGCTCTTTGAAGAACTGACAGGAAATGAATTTGAACCCTGGGAAAGAGAAAAGAAGATTCAGAAGAAACATTTGAAGTTCTTCCCTATTGATATTGTGCGTGCTCTTGTCGTTTTGTGGTATCAATTATGTTTGATTTTGTTTCCTTTACCTGGATTAACATAAAACGACGTGAATTTGTAGGATGACGGTGTTGAAGTAAGGCATGGAGGGCTTGGACTTAGGCAACTGGGGGTTGCTGCTGCACATAGTAAGCTTGATCCAAAGGTAGCAAATTTTATGAAAGTACTTTGCAGCCAGGAGATATACCGGTGAGTCTTTTCACACGACTATCTTTCTAGTCTGTTTACATGTGCACAACAAATGACTATTGTCGGTCGAATGAAGGTATGCTTTAATGGAGATGGGGTATGATTCACCTGAAGTTCCTGTTGGAATGCTTACTGATTTTCATTTAAAAAGATGTACGTCTTTCTTCCCTTTGGTGCATTCTCTGTTGGAGATCGGGCATTTGCGAAATTTATTTCTAACTGTGCAGGTGAGGAAACCCTCCTGCGTTTTGTGGATAAATTGAAATCTTCAAAGGAGACAGGGAACCAAGAGGAGGCCCTCTGGGCTGATTTCAGCCAAAAATGGTTTACTCTCATGCCAACTACGAGGCCCTCGTCATTTAAAGACTTTGGAGAACTTGCAGACCATGTAAATTGCATATTTATTTTTTGTTCCCAGGTTTGAGTCGCTACTTAGATCCTTCAGTTGAAAATATATTCATGTGTTTCTCTCGTGTAATGCAAATTCAAGGCTGCTTCTGCTTATGAGGCTATTCGAGATATCAATACTGCCTCCCGCCTTATAGGAGATATGTCAGGCTCAACGTTAGACGATCCTCTCTTTGACCGTTATGTGAAGCTAGGTTGTTCTGTCTCACCGGTAGAGAAAGAGACGGATGATTACAAAATGATAGTGAAGTACCTGGAGAGAACTTATGAACCTGTGATGGTTGGAGAAACTGTAAGATAATTTCTATCGGCTTCCACGAGATTATCCTTTTGGGACATTCCGATTTATCATCAATATATAAGCTTTGATCTGAGTTGGAGTTATCTGTGTTTGTTTAGAGCTATGGTGTATCGGTTGAGAACATCTTCGCTGTTGAAGTAAGTGCATGCCCTTCTCTTGATGTCATCAAGAAGTTGCCGAACAAGGTTCTGCTATGGTGTGGTAAGTAATTGCATGATCCAATCTTGTTAGCTGTTGACTGTTTGTCCCGTTAGGGAAATACTAATCGAGACTGTGAATGGATTGACCTTAAAATAACAAGTGATCACTCTTTGCTAACAGGGACAAGGAGTTCAAATCTGTTGAGGCACTTGCAGATGGGGTTCTTGCCTGCAGCTTGTGCTCTTCCTGCACCAGGATACATGGTATATAGGGCAAACACACTTTCTAAAAGAAAGCATCATGATCTTTTATGTTGTTTGTTTAGGTAATGTACACATTCATTGGCATTTATGGTTCATTTGCAGTTTGGAAGAGCTATTGTATGTTCAGATGCTGCAGCGGAAGCTGCAAGATACGGTTACACAGCGGTAGATAGGCCAGAAGGTTTCTTGGTTCTGGCTGTTGCTTCACTTGGAGAAGAAATCCAGGAATTTTCAAGTCCACCTGAGGTAGAACAGCAAAAGATATTGATTTTAGATTATATATATTAAAAAATAGTGTAGGACTAATGTCCAATTTGCACCAACGCAGGATACGAAATCCTTGGAGGAGAAGAAAACTGGAGCTAAAGGGCTCGGCAAAAAGAAAACGGATGAGTCGGAACATTTTGTGTGGAAGGATGACATTAGAGTACCTTGTGGCAAGTTGATTCCATCAGAGCACAAGGACAGCCCCCTCGAGTATAATGAGTATGCTGTATATGATCCACAGCAGGCACGTACAAATGATTTATAAAGAGAAAATGGTTCTTGTGCTGAAGATTTTACATGGTGTTACTGACCTTGTCAATGTTATTCTTATTTTGATAGGTAAGCATTAGGTTCTTGGTGGCTGTGAAATTCGAGGAACAGGACGTTGAGTATGATACAGTTGAGCCCGAGGTATAAACGAAAAAAGTGGAAGACCAGGGAAGGGCTGTACATGAACATTTTGCCTATTCTCTTATCAGACTTTTTATGGGATTTTGTAGTATTAAGTACTTTTTGGGCATAGGATGGAAGTGGCTTTGTTAAATGGTTGGGCGCAAAGTTTTGTTCCTGTAGTGGTGGTCTTGAATCTTGAACTGTTAGATGGTTAAAAGTTTGTCTCTGTAGTTGTGGTTCTTGATCCCTTTTTTGTGTGTATGTATGCAAACAGCTGCTGCCAGAACCTTTTTTGTATTTGTTTATGGATCAAGTACTTTGTTTTCTCTTTTCATGCTCCGCTTTGGTTTTTTCAAATGAGTAATGTTGCCGCTTTTTGTTCTTGGTCTTGGAAGAATAAGCAAAGCTGCATTTAGTGACACAAGGTTGATGACTAAACCTTTGCTGAACTAATCTAGTATTCATTCCAATCTACCATCTCTGGGAAAGCAAAACTGAAGGCGTCATACTACTGCTGAATTCTTCAATGGCATTTCATTATTTACTAAAACCAGAGGAGTAATGGGAGATTTGAACATTGTTGGCATTGTGTAAACAACTAATGAACTGGATTACCTTGAAGGGCATATAGTCGTTTCCTAGCTTTCCAATCCAGTCTGCTTTGCAGCTTTCTGCAGCCTTAAAAAATTTAGTATTCGGGTTCGGGAAATATTACGACCGAATGAATCACAAAAACATCTTCCTCCTTTCCCTGCACAAAAATGCAATACATTACTATTCACAAATCAAGGTAGTATCTTTTACATTACATTGTGCTCTCAGCAGTTGTTACCACTCTAAATACAAATAGTTATGTGCAATCCAAGACTAACAATTATAAGTTAAATATATAGACAAAGAAATTAAAAAAGAATTACGATAAAGTCAATTGTTTGGTGTGGCCTCTTCACGATTATGCTCATTGGCAAGGAAAAGTATGCTTTAGAGCCTTGATGATGACAGAAGTGCCCGTAATGCGAGGTGAAGCGCTCAACATATTTTGAACCTCACATCATGACTTAAGCGCGTGACAACACTAGGCCTTTCAAGTTCACCAGTTATTGCATTACTTTGTGAATAGTAGTCTTTTAAATTGTGCTCAAGTTCACCAGTTATTGCACAATCAAATTATAGCTTCATGTCTGCCATTTAATTTTCTTACTCATTCTTAATCCAATTGTTCCATGCAACAGCGCGAGATAACCCAATTTTGCAGATACTTTGTAGAACTGGTGTACCATAAAATTGAGGGGCAAAATTTGCCCTTTTTCATCAATTTCAGCCTGAACACCAACATATATATTATAGTTTCCATCAACTTACGTTTATAATCACCCGGTAGGGTACCATAGTATTGAGTAGTTCCATCCAAGTCACAACTATCAATACCATTGAGGGGAGCCATATTGTTGTCATAATAAAGTCGAGATTAGAGAGCTTGCGGAGAACCTTGGACTTGGGACTTAATTATGATGATTATTGTTGGGGTCAAAGAAGGGAAACCTTGAAACAAGTTTCCGTGTGACCTATAGCTCACGGGTTCGAACAGTGGAAGCAATCGCTACTGTTTGTATTAGGTTGCGATGTTTACATCACATCCCTTGGGTTCGGCCTTTCCCCGAACTCTGCGTGGACGTGAAATGCCTTGTGCACCGGGCTGTTCTTTTATTTTTGGGGTCGAGGAGGAAGACGACGACATCGAAGTGGTGCCTCATAGCAAAGAGGATGATTCATATTGTACTAGAATTATGATGTAATTCTTTAGAACTATTATTTTGTTTCTTTAAGTTTCTGTACTTGTTATGAATAAAGTTTATAGCTTTTGCAAATTATAATCCTAAGCTTTAAGAACTATTTCAGAAAATCAAAACAGCTAACAATTCTCCTAAAACCAACTATTTAATTCATTTATCTTTTAATAGGTGTGGATAAGTAAACAATAATAAAATGTCTACAGCAGATTCAATTTTTTTAACCTCCAACGTTTCTATTGTAAACATGGAAAAGAAGTCGTGTTGCTACAAAATTTCCTTATTCCTCTCCAAGTACTAACTCAAAACCATAAAATCTGTACCACAGAGCATTCAATACAGGGGAAAACTTTAAGAAATATTGTCCTAAAATCAATATAATAAACAATATGAATATATTAGTTAATGACTTACCTACAATCAGAATTAGATGGAGTGGAATCTGTAAGAGCGAATTGGCAGTCCAGAACAGGTGTTTGATTTTGAAGCTCCGAAAATCGGCGAAAATGGCGAAGGGGCGAGGGGATGGGTTCTGACGACAAAGATTATGGAAAATTTGAACTATGATATCGCTTATAAAATACATTAATAATAGAAATTGTAACTTTTGATTTTTGAATAATTATAAAGAAATATGTCAAAAAAATTAACTTGACCTTTGTATTTGTAAGAATGACATAAAAAATAGATAAAATATTTTACACAAAATTGACTAGTTGTAAAATTTCAATATTAGCAAAAATAAGGTTTTGGACAGTATTTTAAAGGCGTTTTCTAGGAGAGACACTGGGCGGGCACGCTAAGGCATACTAGGAGGGCGCAAGTATTATGTAGTGTAAGTCTCAATCTTCTCGGGCATAAGTCATGATATTGAGAACTTCGAGCTAAGATTCTTACTAATAAATAGGAGTAATTTTTCTTATTACTTAAATATTCAAAAGTTAACTCATAGTAAATTCTCAAACTAAAAAACCTCAAAAAAAGTCAAAAGCCTTTTCTAACTATGTACCTATTTCTATAATTTTTTCATTTTGAGTTTACCGAGTAACAATTATGAAGATGTTTTCAAATGTTAGCAAAAAAGCTCGAAGTGATTCCAATTAATTTTCAAAATTTTAATACCATACAGCATGTTGGGATATATACTATTAACCATGAATTTTGGTTTGGATAAAGTATTTATTATGGAATAATTATTTATTTAAGTTTAACAAAGTTTTAAATAGATCATATATTCGTTTGTGTCTGTTACTTATATAGTAGATGATTTAGTGTATAGAGTTTAGCTTATACACAGAAGATTAAATCATCGGTTCTTATAAGTATAAAGATCATGTTCACAATCTAATGATGGAATTGGACAAACCATCAGGAATGATTGTAGCACAAGATTAAATATAATTTATCTTGATTATGAGAATGGTTTAATTCCGACTTCTTGTGCTAGTACATTTTGTATGTATTNTATTGTTTTGATTTACTAAAAGGCAAGATTCTTTTGTGGGTCAATATGCCTGGTAAATTGGACAATGATGATATACATTGGCGAAGTAATAATTAGTTGATGGAATCCATGGCTCGGTCTAGAGATTAATGATACACCTTTATGAAAGCTTATAAGTTTTCATGTGTAAACCCTGCAGGTGGATTTTGTATCAGTCACATGAAATAAGTTAAGCGAAAGTCTAAAGAAAATAATCAATGAATTAAATTGTCAGTAATTTAATTTATTAGATTAGTATCTGAATCTTAACATGGGGAGTTAAATAATGTTTAATGGAAGAATTTCGAAATTAAACTGAGGAGTGCAGTTACGAATTTTTAATGGAATAATTCGTAATTTATTATGGTAGTATTAATTCGAATATTTCGAATTAAGTCCATAATAGGAAGCTTCGTTAATTAAATACCGATGTCCCTGTTGTGACCGAATAATTGGGAATTAAATGAAATTATATTTCTTGGTGGAAAAGTAAGACCCAACAGGTTTAGGAAAAGGCTTTAAACCGTAAAACTTGTGGCTATATAAAGGGGTCTTATTCCATAAGGAGGCTATGGTTTTACTATACAGTTTTCCTAGGAGAAACTCGCCCACACGAGTTTCGCTTATTCCGGTCATTATTCGGGTCACACAGCAGAAGACTGTGGAACTGGAAGATGATCCCGTGGACGTTTTGCGCTCTTGCTTGGAGGCTCTTTTCGCGATCGTTGTCACGCTTCAAGAGATAAGTATCGATTTTATGGTTGATTAAAATCTGTAATTATGTGTTGTCTATATTACATGCAAGTGATCCTGGCTATTTGCTTCCGCTGTTCATACATATTTTCCATCAATTGATATCAGAGCCTACTTGCATCTAAATAGATATCATAGATGATATGTATATGTCGAATATTATATACATATATGTCGTTCATGATCTGTAGTCTTGTCGAAAATCATGTATAAAGTTTAAAAGCTTATTGTTGAATGGAGGTCGTAGCGAGAACCTAGTTTTACCTAACATAATGAGATTTAGACCACTATTATGATACTACTAAACAAATTGATCTAATGTTATGAGGTTTTCTCGCGGTTGCCGTCTTATAGCATGTACAATTGCTTTTGAAAGGAATTATATGTCCATTGTTGTGCTACTTTCTTATGTGATTGGGCACTAACGGAAAGGATTAGTGGATGTTGGTTTTGACGTCGGTAGTGATTGAAAGTGGCGAAATAGGGCTTAAAGAAAGACGTAAATATTTTCTCCAATGAGTTATTGTCTTGGGCTAAACTTTATTGTCATTGTTTCAAGAGGCTCACAAACCAAAGCATAAAAGATTCAATATTAAGGTGTAACCGTATTGGCACTATTTTATCATAGTGTGCTAATGATTAGCTGATGTCGAATAGTTTATGTTCAATGGTGTTTACTTTGGACTGTTCCTTTATTTGTTGTTCATCAGCATATGTTATTGAATCTACAACGTAATGTTTTATGTTTCCTTAAGACGTTGGAGGTTGTGAAATCTAAAAGTTTATCCGTTTGATTGAGTGTTAGGTCATGGGTATAATTATCTACTTGTACGTATATAATATGTTGTATAAATTACCAAATTTTATGATTGATAAATAGGTACCACTTAAGTGGTTTATTTATTTGAAATCATTCAAATCTTAATGGCTTTATACATACAAGATTATATCATACATGTGTGAACACGTGATTTTTGCTTCACGAAAACTACTCCAAAAGAAATCGGAAAAGAAATAAAACAAGTTACCTTCGGGTACAATTTTGAGGATTTGTGTGACATTTTGATAATTGTTTTGTCCGTAAATGCTCGCCTTGCTTAGTTAATAAATACAAAAATACATGTTGCATGCATTTAGGAAAAATGGTACATTTAGGAATTAATTAACCATTATTTGGTTTTTAAAAGCGAAAATCACAAAAAATAGGCATTTTATTCTATTTTGTTGGCATGGTAATTTTATTAAATGTTTTAATTCGTGGATAATTGTTGTTAGGTGTTAATTAATATTTGTGTAGTTTAA